CCAAGTTCTTTTCTTAAAATTTAAGAGTAATGATAACAGGGGCTTCTGGTTATTACTCAGCTGCTTTCATACACCGTCACTTTTAACCTCACAACCCGAAGAGCCAGAAAGCTTTTTATCTTCATCTTCCAGATGAGCAAACAGGCGCTGAGACACAAAGTGAAGGCCCACATTACGCAGCATGCCACTGGAGGTGACCGTGCCCCTCAGAGCCCCAAGGGCTTTAGTGCAACGAGCCACCCGGACAGGACTTGCTGCGTGGCCTTGGATAAGTCCCTTGACCTCTCGGAGCCTCGTTTTCACATCTGTAAAATGAAGATAAAGCTGTAGTAGGGATTATGCTTTATTTGTATCAGAGTTTCTCTTTCTCAGCACTAGTGGCATTAAGGGGCAGGTCACTCTTTGTGGGGGGCTGTCTTGGGCACTATGGGTTGTTGAGCAGCATCCCTGGCCCCACCCACTTGATGCCAGGAGCACCCCAGACATTCTCCTTGCAGGAGAAGCCATCGGTGTCCTCTGGGGGCAGCATGGCCTCTGATGAGAACCTCTATGCGTAGGAGTAATGATGAAGTTTGGCATTATTGAGTGCCTGCTCTTTGCCCAGCAGTTTACACTTACTCACTGTTCAGAATCAGTGAGCTGGTGGGAACCATGATTCTCTTTACAGATGAGGAAACTGGGCTCAGAGGGGTTGAGTCGTCTTCCCAAGATCTCCTTAGAGAAAGGGATAGAGAGGGACCCAACCCCGGGCTGTCTGACAGCCACACCGGCTTCCCGCCCTGCTCCACCAGCCTTCCCTTTCCAGACTCCAGGAGGGGGTGTGACAGGATCCGCAAACATTTACTGTAACGGACCCGATAGGCAGTGTTTTGGGCTCAGGAGAAGCCATAGGTGACATGAATACGAATGGGCGTGGCCATGCACCAATTCAATTTTATGTATGAACACAGAAGTGTGAATTTTACCTAATTTTCACGTGTCAGAAAATAGCATTCTCTTTTTTACTTTTTTTTAAAATATATTTTATTGATTTTTTACAGAGAGGAAGGGAGAGAGATAGAGAGTTAGAAACATCAATGAGAGAGAAACATCGATCAGCTGCCTCCTGCACATCTCCCACTGGGGATGTGCCCGCAACCCAGGTACATGCCCTTGACCGGAATCAAACCCGGGACCTTTCAGTCCACAGGCCAACGCTCTATCCACTGAGCCAAACCGGTTTCGGCCTCTTTTTTACTTTTAATCCAGCCATTTAAAACGATGACAACCATTCTTAGCCTGAGGGCCAGTTTGCTAGCCTCTAGAGCAGTGGTTCTCAACCTTCTGGCCCTTTAAATACAGCTCCTCATGTTGTGACCCAACCATAAAATTATTTTCGTTGCTACTTCATAACTGTGATGTGGCTACTGTTATGAATCGTCATGTAAATATCTGATATGCAGGATGGTCTTAGGCGACCCCTGTGAAAGGGTCGTTCGACCTCCAAAGGGGTCAGGGCCCACAGGTTGAGAACCGCTGCTCTAGAGCCTAGGATGTGACCTTCCCTCGCAAGCCTCTGTCCCACCTCTCTCACCCCTGCTGCCCAGCCCTGAGCTCAGGGTCACCAGGGTGACACCCCCCCCACCCCCCACCCCCGCCCCAGATCACAGAGCTCTCCAAGGAGGTCTTCAGTCTTAAGGAGGCGCTGAAGGACCAGCCAGCAGTCCCGGGCAGCTCCGAGGTGGAGGCCCTCCGCGGCCAGGTGGAGGCCCTGCAGGGGCAGCTGGAGGTGAGAGCCACACCGGGCCCACAGAGACCCCGGGGAGGGCTGGGGGCACGTAGTCGCCTGAGGTACACGTGCCAGGCATGGGAGGACCCCAGGAGAGGGCTGGGGGCACGCAGGCGCCTGGGGTACACGTGCCAGGCATGGGAGGACCCCAGGAGAGGGCTGGGGGCACGCAGGCGCCTGGGGTACACGTGCCAGGCATGGGAGGACCCCAGGAGAGGGCTGGGGGCACGCAGGCGCCTGGGGTACACGTGCCAGGCATGGGAGGACCCCAGGAGAGGGCTGGGGCCACGTGCCAGGCACGGGAGGGAAACATTGCAGTATTTTGTCAACTGGCACCGTCTCGCTGGTCCATGCCATCGACAGAGGGGCTCAGGGTCCGCAGGGGGCACTGTGGCACCTTGGGGTGTCTTGCTTTGCTGAGCGCCCATGCCCACATCCACAGGACGCTGCCAGGGAGCACAGCGCAGTAGTGGCCTTGTACCGGAGCCACCTCCTCCACGCCATCCAGGTGAGCCAGCCCTGGCGCTGCCATCCCCCGGCTGCTCTCTGGCCCCCGTTGCCCCGTCTGTACCGTGGCAGGCGCCCAGGCTCCCCTCTGTCCCCCCGCAGGGCCAGATGGATGAAGATGTGCAGCAGATTCTGAGCCAGATCCTGCAGATGCAGAGGCTCCAGGCTCAGGGACGCTAAGCCCCGGCACGCGGACCCTGCTTGCTGGACCTCACAGGGCGAGCTGGGCCCACGCACTGGCCTCCGGACGTGGGGATCGGCCTGGCCCCGGCCCGCCTGTCCCTGGGTGTCCATTTCTCAGGCCCTGGCCATGCCCTCCCTCCCCCAAATCAGGGAATCTGAGTTCCCTGGCTCATGTCCTGTTGCCAGACACCAGCCCAGGAATAAAGCGCACCGAGCAGAGGACACGTGTGGCCTGATTGCTGGGGAGGGGGTGGCCCGGATCAGGGTGAGGAGAGTGAGCACCCCCTCCCGCACCCAAGTCTCAGCCCCATGGTGAACGCTGTGTTCATGCAACGTTTTATATTTTTTAAATATATTTTATTGATTTTTTACAGAGAGGAAGGGAGAGGGATAGAGAGTTAGAAACATCGATGAGAGAGAAACATTGATCAGCTGCCTCCTGCACACCCCCTACTGCGGATGTGCCCGCAACCCAGGTACATGCCCTTGATCGGAATCGAATCCGGGACCTTTCAGTCCCCAGGCCGATGCTCTATCCACTGAGCCAAACCAGTGAGGGCTCATGCAACATTTTAAGAAGTCAAAATGGATGCCAGAAAGTTCACCCTGAACAGAGTTTCCCAGAGTTAAGGGAAGACAGGAGCCACGCCTGCGCTGACCTCACTCTCCTGACCCTGGGCCCAGCCCCTGGGAGGGAGAGCCCACCCCAACCCCCTGCCCTGGCAACTTCCCTGAAATCCCCTGGTGCTTCTCAGCCCTTTCCAGCCCGGGAGGAGGTGACTAAGACCGTGAACCCCCGTGTCCAGCCTGCCCCGGGGGTTTCCTCGCTCATCCAGGGCAGGCAGGGTGTCCAGTGGGGCTTCAGCCGCCATCCCCGTGGCTGGGAGGATGTCGTGGGAGGGGCTGCCCCCAGGTCTGCTCTGTCTCTCTCTGGCCGGTAAGCGGGGACCCCTTCGCAGTGGTCCCCGCGTGAATGGGCATCTGCTGTGTAGATGCCCGGGTCTCCCTGTCCCCGTCTTCTTTTTTCCTAGACTTGGTGTCTCTATCTCTCCGTCTCCTGACTTTCTCTTTTTCTGTGTCTATTTCTCTATCTCATCTCTCCCTGTCTCTGTCTCTCTGTCTCCGCTCTTATCTGTGTGTGTCTATCTCCATCTCTGTCTCTCCTCTGAGTCTCCCTCCCCTCTCCCCTCTCCTCTCCTCTGAGTCTCCCACCCCCTCTCCCCTCCCCTCTCCTCTGAGTCTCCCACCCCCTCTCCCCTCTCCTCTCCTCTGAGTCTCCCACCCCCTCTCCCCTCTCCTCTCCTCTGAGTCTCCCACCCCCTCTCCCCTCTCCTCTCCTCTGAGTCTCCCACCCCCTCTCCCCTCTCCTCTCCTCTGAGTCTCCCACCCCCTCTCCCCTCTCCTCTCCTCTGAGTCTCCCACCCCCTCTCCCCTCTCCTCTCCTCTGAGTCTCCCACCCCCTCTCCCCTCTCCTCTCCTCTGAGTCTCCCTCCCCTCTCCCTCTCCTCTCCTCTGAGTCTCCCACCTCCTCTCCCCTCTCCTCTCCTCTCCTCTCCTCTCCTCTCCTCTCCTCTCCTCTCCTCTCCTCTCCTCTCCTCTCCTCTCCTCTCCTCTCCTCTCCTCTCCTCTCCTCTCCTCTCCTCTCCTCTGAGTCTCCCCTCCTGCCTCTGTCTCTGTCTTGCTCCATGCAACCGTCCCCTCTGGGGTTTCCCCAGCCCCTCCTCACTGCAGCCGGAAGGAAGGACTGACTGTGCTGGGAAAGGCCACGGGGTCTCCACTTCTCCCTTTTGTGGCCTCTTCCCCCTGCCTCCACCTCAGAGCCTTCCGCACCCTTGTCCCAGGGTGGCCAGCAAAGGAACTAGCGGATCTGCTGCCCCTGCTTGACTCTCCTTGGCCCCACGAACCTGCCAGTGAGTCCAACCCAGAGAAAGGGAAGGGGGGAGCTTGGCAGGGTCTGCGTGCCCCGCCTTCCCAAGGGGCCCCTTGCCCAGCGTCTGGAAGTGGAGCCCACAGGAGTCATGGCCCCAAGACTTCTCCTGGCCCTGGCCCTCTGGGCTGGCTGCTCCCCCTGCAGTGGGAGAGAAGGTATGTAGGGCCCCTGGGGGCTGGGGGACCAGGGCCAGTCCGGGGACTGGACTTTGCTGTGGAACCTTCTGGGGTGGGATGGGAGGGGGTTCCATAGATGGGAAAGTGAGACACAGATGAATCCTACTCAAGTGACACCAGGTAGTGGCAGCCACCGCCTGGAGAGAGAGAGAGAGAGAGAGAGAGAGAGAGAGAGAGAGAGAGAGAGAGAGAAAGAGAAAGGAGGGGTGGGGGTTAATTGCATGCACTCATGTGCTTTAAAACAAAACTGGAGCCCTGGCCAGTTTGGTTCAGTGGGTAGAGTGTCGGCCTTCAGACTGAAGGTCCCAGGTTCGATTCCAGTTGAGGGCACGTACCTCGGTTGCAAGCTCAATCCCCGGCCCTGGTTGGGGCACATTGGGGAGGCAACCAATTGATGTGTCTCTCTCACATCGATGTTTCTCTCTCTGTCTCTCCCCCTCCCTTCCACTCTCTCTAAAAAAAATAAAATTAAAATAAAAAATCAATGGAAAAATCGCCTCGGGTGAAGATTAACAAAACCAAAAATCTGTAACAAAGAGGAGATACAGTGAAATATCTCCCTCCCGTCAGGTTCTGCACTACCGCGGTCTCCTCTGTGGCCTGGAGAATGAGCCAACAGTCCCTACCTTTGCAGGTTGTGGGGGGGTGAGAGGTGACGTGGGTGCCTTTCACTCGTGTACTCATTCCACCAGCCCTATCAGGTGCCTCCCGTATGCCCGGCACTGGCTGGGGGTGAGGGGGGATGAACCCATGGGGGGGCTTCACAGCCCTGGTGTCTCGGAAATGGAGAGAATCAGCACCTTCCTGTTTCAGATTCCAGAGTCTGACTCTGTGGGCCTCAGAATGTGGGCATTCTAAGGCTGGAATGTGGAATCTGGGACTGAGCACTGAGGGTGGCTTTCACCCCAAACCCTGGGTACTTGTGGGTGGTTTGAAAGCTCACGCTCCTCCCTCCTCCCTCACCCCTGCAGCCCCCACCCAGTCCAGGGTGTGGTGCTGGGCCTTTAGGTACCCTATGGCCGTAGATTGCTTCTGGACCCTGCCACCGGCTGCAAACTCCACCAGGCCCACAGCCTTCATTGCCACGTACAGGTCAGAGCCTGGAGGGCTTCCTGGAGGTTCCACAGTGGAGCCTGACCCCTGGGAGGAGGGCAACTGCAGCCAGCGCGGACCTGGAGCCCTGCGAGTGCTAGGGCAGCGGGTCCTGTAGAAACGTGCCTCCTACAATACACATGTCACGCCAGGGGTCACTTAGAATGTTCTAGAAGCCACATTTAAAAAGTAAGAGGAGCCGAAACCGGTTTGGCTCAGTGGATAGAGCGTCGGCCTGTGGACTGAAAGGTCCCAGGTTCGATTCCGGTCAAGGGCATGTACCTGGGTTGCGGGCATATCCCCAGTAGGAGATGTGCAGGAGGCAGCTGATCGATGTTTCTCTCTCATCGATGTTTCTAACTCTCTATCTCTCTCCCTTCCTCTCTGTAAAAAATCAATAAAATATATATTTAAAAAAAATAAATAAATAAAAAATAAAAATAAAAAAAAAAAAAGTAAGAGGAAATGGGTGAAATTAATATTTTATGTAAATAATATCTATATTTCTAAATATTTATCATTTAATGATTGAGCATAATGTAATTGAACATACTTATATTCAATGTATATATTTAAATTTAGAATAGAAATTAATATAGCAATAACTAAAATATTATCGTTATCATTACTTTAAAAATTAGATATTTTACATCCTTCCTTTTTATACGAAGTCTTCAGAATTCCACGTGTATTTTATGAATATAGTGCCCTTCAGTTCAGATACTAAACTTTCATTAGAAATTCTTGATCTGATTGGATTTCATAAAATTTGCAGTTGAAGCAATAAATTCATGCACCCAACTTGTTTCAAACAACTTCCCCAAGTGTTCTGGTAGCTGGAAACATTACACTTAGATTACACAGAATGAATCCCACTTAAAGCCCCACTCAGTCATGTAGCTGTGTTTCAAGCGCTTGACCCCACAGGCGGCCAATGACGGCTGCATGGGACAATGTAGAAACAGGACATTGTGATGCTGTAGAAAGTTCTATGGATGGCACTCGGCTCAAGCCTCAGAACCTTACTGTTTCAGATGCCGGAGTCTGTGACTCTGTAGACCTCAGAATGTGGGAATTCTAAGGCTGGAATGTTGATCTTCCAGAAACCTGTAGAATCTGGGACCCGAGCATCTAGCGTGCTTTTCACCCCAAACCTTGGGTACTTGTGGGGTCTGTGATGTCACGTGAGTGCCTCCCCCAAGTGAGGGTCACAGAGGCAAGAGCCGGACCCCGAGCCAGGGCTCCTCACTTCTGTCCCTGCTTGGGATCGAGGGCACGGCAGGGCCAGCAGGAGTGCTGAGGCCTCATAGTGCCCATCTGTGTCCAGGCTGGGAGTGGCCGCCCACGGGGAGAGCCAGCCCTGCCTCCAGCCCACCCCAGAGGCCACCAGCTGCACCATCCCAGATGTCCAGATGTTCTCCATGGTGCCCTACATGCTGAACGTCACCGCTGTCCACCCCGGGGGCAGCAGCAGCAGCTTCGTGACCTTTGTCCCAGAGCACATCAGTGAGTGGGGGCCATGGTTGGGGGGGGGGGGGGAGGAAGGTCCCTGGCTTGTTTGTGCTGTTCCCCCCATCGAGGTACCCCCACCTTCTGCCTGTCACACAGTCCTGTCCTCTATCGCGGATCCTGTGGGATTTCAGAGAGGAAGGGAGAGGGAGAGAGCTAGAAACATCAGAGAGAGAGGATCATTGATCAGCTGCCTCCTGCACGCCCCCCACTGGGGGTCGAGCCCGGAGCCCGGGCATGTGCCCTTCACCGGAATCGAACCTGGGGTCCTTCAGTCCGCAGGCCGATGCTCTACCCACTGAGCCAAACCGGCTGACTCTAGAGTCTGATCCCACTTCTTTCCCGCCCACCTGGACCTCAGTCCTCTCACCCGCTTCCGGTTCCCGCCCTCTTCCCTCAGCAGCCACCAGAGGGCGCCTTCCCTGGATCAGCCACCAGAGGGCGCTGTGAGCACCCTAGCCAGGTCCCGCCTCCCTTGGGGTAAATGCCCACATCCTCCTGGGACCTGACCCGCCTGCTCCCTAGCAGTAATGGGGAGGGTGGAGGGGGGGAGTGGGAGGGAGTGGGGGGTGGGGGTGGCTGCTAATGGGTGTGGATTTCTTTTTGGGGTGATGAAAATGTTCTGATTAAATAGTGGTGTTCATACAACATTGTGAATGTACTAAAAACCACTGAACTGTACACTTTGACAGGGTGAGTTTTGGTGTGCGAATTATGACTCAAAAAGTTGCAAGCCACTCTCTTCCTTGCACTCCTGACCTTTCTCCCCTACTCTGTTTTTTTCAATGAGCAATAATCTCGCCCCGGATAAACCCCACTGGCTACGATGCTGCCACTGCTAAAGCCCTTCCCTCCTCTTTACAATCAGATTTCCTTCCGGTCTCTGGCCTTCTGTCCTGTGGCTTCAGCTCCAAAAGGAGACGGGTTGGGTCTCTACTGGTCACTGCTGTGTCCCCGGGGCCCAGAGCATCACTGGACACACAGTAGACCCTCAATTAATATTTGTTGGTTGTTTGCATGCATGCATGCATGGAACTGCCCTCTGCTGACCCTGTCTCCTGTTTGTCTGTCAGTCAAACCAGACCCTCCAGAAGGCGTGCACCTGAGACCCGTCCATGGGCAGGGGCTGAGGGTGCAGTGGGAACCTCCCAGGTCCTGGCCCTTCCCGGAGATCTTCTCACTCAAGTACTGGATCCGCTACAAGCGTCATGGAGCCGCCCGCTTTCGCCAGGTGAGGAAGGCGGGAGGCAGCTGGGGAGGGTGAGTCCCAGGTAGAGCAGCACTGAGGGTAAAGGCGCGCCGAGGCCTCCCGTGCAGCTTGAGATTGATTGCCTGCGGCTCATGTGCAAAATGCAGGCAGCCCCGCAACTCCACTGCTGCTCCTGCGTATCTGCCCCAAAGACTTGAAAGCAGGGACTCACACAGAATCTTCACAGAGTGCTAGTCACAGTAGCAGAAAGGTGGGAACGCTCAAATGTCCATCCGCGGGTGGGTGGATTCACAAAGCACGGCCCGTCCACACACTGAGCATTGCTCAGCCGTGAAAGCACTGACACTCTCTTCAATGTGGATGGACCCTGAACGTGTGATGCCCAGTGAGAGAAGCCAGGCACACAAGGCGTGTGATTCCACGGATGTGAAACGTCCAGGGCAGGCACATCCAGAGATGGAAAGTAGATTCAGGGTTGTCAGGAGCTGAGGAGGAGGGTGGGGAGTGACTGCTGATGAAAACAGGGTTTTGGGGGGGGGGGGTTGATGGAATTTTCTAGAATTAGAGGCGCTGGTTGCACAACATTGTGAATGTACTAAGGGATATGGAATTGTCCACTTTAGAATGGTTAATGTTATGCCAGGTAAATTTCACCTTGATTGAAAACAACCTATATTGTTTTAACTTTTTTTTAAAAAGATTTTATTGATTTTAGAGAGACAGAGAGAGCAAGAGAGAGGGAGAGAGAAACATCGATCTGTTGCCGCCCGTACATGGCCTGACCTGGGGTCAAACATGAAACCTAGGCATGTGCCCTGACGAGAAATGGAACCCACAGCCTTCGGTGTTGGGATGACTCTCCAACCGACCAGGGCTGTTTTAACTTCTTCTTTTTCTCCTCCTCCCCCTCCTCCCCCCCCTCCTCCTTTAAATATTTTTTTTATTGATTTCAGAGAGGAAGAGAGAGATAGACACATCAATGATGAGAGGGAATCATTGATCAGCTGCCTCCTGCACGCCCCACACTGGGGATCGAGCCCACAACCTGAGCATGTGCCCTTAACCAGCATCGAACCTGGGACCCTTCAGTCCACAGGCCGGCGCTCTATCCACTGAGCCAAGCCGGCTAGGGTTGTCTTAACTTCTTAAAAAGTAAAAAATAACGGCAGTGTCCTGTGAGCATCCAAAGGTCGGTGGTGGCCTTGGCAGAGCCGGATCCTGGGCTGAGAAGCGAGTCTGCAGTTCGGCTTCTCACGGCCTGCCCCGCGGTGTGGGAGTCTTCGGTGCTGGGGGGTCTTCTCCGTCCGCTCCAGGACAGTGGCCATGAACTACGGTGGCTGCTGAGCGATTCCAGTGTGGCGAGTAGCCCGGGAGCTGGCTTTTAAATTTTACTAGTGTTCGTTAATTTTCTTAAATCTTTGCAGTTTTAAAATTGAGATTGAACTCACATGCCAGAAAAGTCACTGTTTTAAAGTGCTTAAGCCAGTGGCTTTGTGTATGTTCAGAAAGTTGTGCAACCATTAAGCTAAATTTACAACTTGCAGCACCATATCGGCCTACGATATGGGACACTCAGGCAGAGCAGGGAAGGGAGCTAGGCAGGCCTGGGGTTGGGCAGCTGAGTGTGGGGGCTGGAGTGGGACATTCTGACAATTCAGTGGGAGGTGGAAGGAGGTGAGGGCCGGGTCAGGGAGGGAGAGTGTGGAGCAGCAGGGACAGGGGAGAAAAGATGGACGGGAGAGAAAGCAGGGAAGGCAGCCTGAGTGGGTGTCTCATTCGTACCCATGGGACTCTAATCTTCGGCGGTCCCTGCGTGGGGACATGAGAGGCCAAGGCCATCGAGAGAAGAACTGACTACATGTCCTGAGAGAAGGGGACAAGCCGCGCCATGCAGGGCGTACAGGCAGCATCAGGACGCAGGCGGCTGGAGCAGGAGGGAGTGGCGAGCCAAGGCAGAGCTCTGCTGGGGTTTCCCTGCGGGGAAGGGGACAGGGGGTGTGCATGCCGGGGGCTGGCGAGTGTGAATAATCCTGTGGGCTCTGGGCTACATGGGTGATCTCAGGTTGCCTGGCACCTGGCACTGGGTGACTGAGGGCGGGAGGACTACTGGCCTGTGGGGGGGAATTAGAGAAAAGGTGGATTGATTGGTTGGTCTATGAAAGGCGTACCCCTTTGCCATCTCTAACAACTGGCTGACCCCAAGAAGGGCAGTCTGTTCCTGGCCAGCAAGATGTTAAGACGCCAAAATATCCTAAGATACAAAAAAAAATTAAAACATGGTTAATACAGTGAGACTGGGGGCGGTGGTTGGGGAGGGAGGCATTGAAGTCAATGATAGAAGCTCTGGTTTAGAGCCAGGGGGAGGAATGGGATTGGGGGGCAGGGAAGGTCTGGGGGTGAGGGATCTCACCACTGAGACACCCCTCGAAACGGGACCATGCCTCGGCGCGGTCCAGGAAGGATTCCTGAACGAGTTGGCTCTGGGACCAGCAGGAAGCCCACACAGGTCAGGACCACACAAGCCACAGCCTGGGAGGGGGCTGTGGAGGGCGACGGGTTTAGGATGGAGCATGAGGATTGGAGGCTCAGTCACACCGACCCCACTGACCAGTCTTTCTGCTCTCAGGTGGGGCCCATCGAAGCCACGTCCTTCACCCTCAGGGCTGTGAAGCCCCACGCCCGGTACTGCGTCCAGGTGGCCGCCCGGGACCTCACTGACTACGGGCAGTCAAGCCACTGGAGTCTCCCTGCCACGGCCTCGGGGCCGCTGGGCCAGTAGCAGGGGCTTCCCAGCACCCAGAGAGGGGCTGGTTCCTGACATCCCCTCCCCTTACCGCTACCCACTCAGGGGTGGATGGGACCTGACTGGCCTGGGGCTGCTGCTGAGTGGCTGGGCAACCTTGGACACGTGACTGCCTCTGACACTGAATTTCCTAATCTGTGAATCGGGGATGTACTCTCTCCTTTGACTGCAGAACTGTGAATGTGACGTATTATTTATTGTTTAATTAGACAAGGACCGTTGTTGCTAAAATAAAGACTCTTCCTCCCTTTGTTCAACCGACCCAGAGAGGAGTTAGGACAGAACAGAGCAGGACGCACATACAGTGAATCCCCACTCCGTGGACAGGGTCAGGGCTGGAGAGAGGAAGAGACCGCAGCTTGAGGAGTTGGGGTGGGTGTGGAGGGGTTCTGCCTGGGACGGGATGGTGGGAGCCATTCAGTTCAGCAGTTTGGTTCCCCCATCGTCTCAAGCAATGTGAGCCCCAGTGTGAGTGGACACAAATGGGACATCGTTTGTTTGGGAAGGTTTCTCTGAGGAGGGGACAAAGCAGCCAGGCCTGGAAGGATTTTCTCAATCCATGGGTTTGTTTGTGGATTTTACCTGGGTCTCATCTCAAAGGTCACCTCCTCCAAGAAGTCTTCCCTGACCACATCATCTGTGGTAGCAGAATAATACCCCCCCCCCCCCCCCGCCACACAAAAGATAACCACATCTAACCCCCGGAATCTGTGAATAGGGTACCTTACCTGGCAACAGGGACTCTGCAGGTATGATTAAATTAAGAATCATGATAAGACTCCTTAATTTAAAGTTTAATGATCTTTCATTAAGTTAATGAACACCAAGGAGAGTTATTATCCTGGGGCCCCAAGAAAATAACAAGGATCAGGCAGGAGCCCTGGCTGGTGTGGTTCAGTTGGTTGAGCATCACCATTTACCAAAAGGTCACTGGTTTGATTCCCAGCCGGGGACATGCCAAATTCAGGCTTGCTCCCCAGGGGGCATGCAGGAGGCAGCTGCTCCATGTTCCTCTCTTCATCCCCCTTTCTCTCTCTAAAATCAATAAAAACATATTTTAAAAACTGTGTTAAAGAAGGAGGCAGGAGATCAGAGGGGGACAGAGACAGCGATGTGACAGTGGAAACAGACGTCAGAAGGATGCGGGGCCATAAACCAAGTGTTGTAGGCATCTCCAGAAGCTGGAAAAGTCGAGAAAATGGATTCTCCCCTGGCGCCTCCAGAGGACCCACACTGCCACCGTATCAGGCTTCTTTCCGCCAGGACTCAGATAATCGCTGTGTCAGGACAGTGAGCTTGTGGTATTTTGTTACAACAGCCACAGGAATCACACCATTTCACTTTCCATAGTTACGCTGTTTTGTCTTCAGACCATTTACCAAACCAGAAAAGGTCCTTTTGTGTGTTTATTGTCCATCTGTCCCACCATGATCCCTGCGAGGACAGGAATCTTTGGTCTTGTTCTCTGATGTGTCCCTAGAGCAGCGGTTCTCCACCTGTGGGTCGCGACCCCTTGGGGGTTGAACGACCCTTTCACAGGGGTCGCCTAAGACCATCGGAAAACACATATATAATTACATATTGTTTCGTGATGAATCGCTATGCTTTATGTTCAATTTGTGACAATGAAAATACATCCTGCATATCAGATATTTATATTACGATTCATAACAGTAGCAACATTACAGTTATGAAGTAGCAACGAAAGTCATTTTATGGTTGGGGGTCACCACATGAGGAGCTGTGTTAAAGGGTCGCGGCATTAGGAAGGTTGAGAACCACTGCCCTAGAGGCTGAGCGTATATCTGACACAACAAACATTTAGCCCTGGCCGGTTTGGCTCAGCAGCTAGAGCGTCAGCCCACAGACAGAGGGTCCAGGGTTCGATCCGGACAAGGGCGTGTACCTCAGGTGCAGGGTCGATCCCTGGCCCAGGTGGAAGGAAACTGATCTATGTGTCTCTCTCACATCTATGTTTCCCCCTCTCTGTCTCTCCCCCTTCCTTCCACTCTCAACATCAATGGGAAAATATCCTCAGGTGAGGATTAACAAACAAACAAACAAACAAACAAATAAATAAAACATTTATCAGAGAAAGGGAGGCCCTGGCCGGTGGCTCAGTGGTTAGCGCGTCCTCTCACACACGGAAGGGTGGAGCGTTCTATTCCAGACCAAGGGCACATGCCTGGGTTGCTGGTTCCATCCCCAGCCTGTGGGGGCAGAGGCAACCAATGGATATTTGTCTCAATATTTCGCTCTCTCCTTTCCTTCTTTCTACTCTCTCTAAAATCAGTGGGAAAATATCCTCGGGTGAGGATAAACAAGAAAATCAAAATACAATAAATAGAAAGGAAGGAGGCTGGGGAGGGAATGGGGTGGGATTTCCTCTTTAAAAGGGCATCTGGGCCCTAGCCGGTTTGGCTTAGTGGATAGAGTGTTGGTCTGCAGACCCAGGGGTCCCAGGTTCATTCCCGTCCAGGGCACGTCAGCACGTGCAGAGGCAACCAACTGATGTGCATTGATATTTCTGTCTTTCCCTCTCTCTTCCTCTCGCTCTGAAAATCAATGGAAAGTATCCTTGGGTGAGGATCTAAAAGAAAGGCAAAGGACATTTGGTTATGGGGGACATTGGAAGCCAGTGTGAGGTAGGGGAGGTGGGTTTGCAGCCTGGTCTTGAGTCTGCCTGTGGCTCAGCGTAAGGGGTGGGCGGTCAGGGCGCTCTTTTGCCCGCGACCTGTGGAGCCCGTGGAAACTGACCGCAGTCCCCACGTGAGCCCTAAGGACACAGGGACCATGGGTGGGTTCCCAGAGGCCAGCACACGGGCTTAACACCCAACACTGAACATTTTATTTGCTGAATAAAAGAATGAACAATAGGGGGTATCGCGAACAACAGCTACGTCCTGTCACGAAGAAATTTTAACAAGCCTCTGCTGACCTCTAGGACTCAGCACCTCCTCAGAATCTTTGTTGCGAGCTAGCGCAGTTGCCACCCGGAAGGGAAAACAACCGGATTCAGATTTTAACAGGCGGGAGTCGCAGCCAATGACAAAAGCAGGCTGCGTAGGCGGCAGCCAATCCTGGAGGCTGAGGAATGACAGTATCGGAAGTGCAAGGACCGCGGGGAAGTCCAGTAAACAGCAACCGTAACCTGTTTTCTGGTACGTGTGGGAGGAGTGGGAGACAAAGATATCGGAGCGGAAAGTTTTAAAAGTAAGTGTTGGATGTCTAGGGCTTTATACCCAGGGCGGCATATCTCGGAACTCTGGCCGAGGTAATCCTAATTGAAACCATTTTTTCTAGCCTAACGGCCTCCCAGTCATCTTCCGCGAGAGGTGGGCTTTCGCTAAACTTTTCCCGGGAGTTACCCAATCACAGGCGGGGAGCTTAGACTATTTACCCAATCACTTCCCATAATTGGGTTTCCGAAAGAAATTATCCAATCACTTCCCTTGGGGGCGGGGCTTCCTTTAAAATATTGTTCCCTCGACACTTTCTTTCACCTTCGGGGGCGGGACTCTGCTCAGCCCCGCCCCTCCTGGGATCTCTGGCCTATGGCGTTCCTAGAAGGGGTTCAGCTTTGCTAAAGAAACTCTTCTTTGGCTTCAGGGGCCCCTCAACTTCTCTTCCCAATTCTGTTGGGGTGAAGCCAGCACTCTTGGGTGGAGAGGGTCTTGGAAGAGCGAGCTCCGGAATTCTGAGCGCCGGTCCTCACCCCAGGAGAGCTGTGCTCCCAGAAGGGGAATGCGCTCTCCGGCCTGGGAGTACGTCCAAGATGTCAGGACCGACAGCCAGGAGCCCCGGTTTGAAGTCGAGGTGATGTTCTTTCCTGTGACTCGGTGCCTTCATCTTTTAAACACCGATGTTAGGAATCCAGCCCCAGCGCTTTCACATTCCAGCGGAGTGTGCAGGTCTTCGTGTCCCTGAAAGTCCTTTCACCGTGAGCATCCAGCTGGGAGCCATCCATTTCTCCTCTGTCCGTCTCCAAGTGGGTCCGCCCACGTGCAGATGCGCCCACAGACGAATACCCTGCGTATTAAAGGGTCTCGGCATTAGGAAGGTTGAGAACCACTGATAATGAAAGTTTAAATGTGTAGGACAACAAATCGATGTTTTTCCCTCCTCTCTCTAAAATCAATCAATCAATATATATTTTTTTTAAGTCGTCCAATTTGTGTTTCTCTCTCTCTGTCTCTCCCCCTCCCTTCCACTCTCTCTAAAAAATCAATGGAAAAATATCCTCAGGTGAGGATTAACAAGAACAAAACAAATCTCTCTCTCAAAGTCAATAAATTTTTTTTAAAAAGTCATCCAAGCCCTAACCGGTTTGGCTCAGTGGATAGAGCGTCGGCCTGTGGACTGAAGGGTCCCGGGTTGCGGGCACATCCCCAGTAGGGAGTGTGCAGGAGGCAGCTGATCGATGTTTCTCTCTCATCAATGTTTCTAATTCTCTATCTCTCTCCCTTCCTCTCTGTAAAAAATCAATAAAATATATTTAAAAATAAAAATCACCATTCTCCCCTAAAAAAAAGTCATCCAACAAGGAGTTGTGAAAAGAGAAGGAACAGGGGAGGTGCGGCCTCTCTGGTGCTTGTTGTTGGTAATCCTCACCTGAGGATACTTTTTCCATTGCTTTTCAGAGAAAGTGGAAGGGAGGGGGATAGAGAGAAACATCTGTGTGAGAGAGCTGCATCGACGGGTTGCCTCTCGCATGTGCACTGACTGGGGGTGGGGAGCGAACCTGCAACCCTGGGATGTGCCTTTGACTGAGATCGAACCCGAGGCCCTTCAGGTGCGCAGGTGACCTTCTAACCACCGAGCAACACAGGCTAGGGCCTCTGGGGCATTTTGATTCATTCTTTTATTTATTTGTTTGTTTGATTTTTAAAAAAATATGTAGTTTTATTGATTTCAGAGAGGAAGGGAGAGGGAGAGAGAGATAGAAACATCAATGATGACAGAGAATCATTGACTGGCTGCCTCCTGCATGCCCCCCACTGGGGATTGAGCCCACATCCCGGGCATGTGCCCCAGGCCGGAATCGAACCCAGGACCCTTCAGTCTGCAGGCTGATGCTCTGTCCACTGAGCCAAACCAGCCAGAGCTATTTGTTTTTATTTTTTTAAATACATTTTTATTGATTTCAGAGAGAGACACACACACATCAAAGATGAGAGAGAATGATTGACGGGCTGCCTCCTGCACAGCCCCTACTAGGGATTGAGCCCCCAACCCAGGCATGCGCCCTGACTGGGAATTAAACCCTGAACTCCTGCTTCATAAGTCGATGCTCAACTATTGAGCCACACTGGCCGGGCTTGATTCATTCTTTCAGACTCTTCCCTGTACTTCTGTCATTCTTTTTTTTTTTTTTTTTTAATATATTTTATTGATTTTTTTACAGAGAGGAAGGTAGAGGGATATAGAGTTGGAAACATCAGATGAGAGAGAAACATCGATCAGCCACCTCCTGCACACCCCCCACTGGGAACGTGCCCGCAACCAAGGTACATGCCCTTGACCGGAATCGAACCTGGGACCCTTCAGTCCCCAGGCCAACACTCCATCCACTGAGCCAAACCGGTTAGGGCACTTCTCTCATTCTTGATCCACCATAATTTTTGCCGTGTGCATGCA